AGTTCCCTGTTAACGCACTTGGGAAAGCAGTGCAGGATGGCCCGAGTCCCTGGGTCCCTGCACCCACATGGGAGACCTGAGGGAAGCTCCTGGCTTCAGATTGGACCAGCTCTGGTCATTGCAGCCATTTGGGGAGTGAACCAGTGGATGGAAGACCTTCTCTTTCTATCTCTACCTTTCATTGTAACTCTGTCTTCTAAATAAACAATAAAATAATGGAATCCAACAACACATCAGAAAGATCATTCATCTAGACCAAGTGAGATTTATCCCTGCTGTTCAGGAATGGCTCAACATATATGAATAAATAAATGTGATACATCAAATTAACAAATTGAAGAATAAAATCACATGATTATCTCAAAAGATGCAGAGAAAGCATTTGATAAAATACAAAATACTTTCATGACAAAAACCTTAAGCAAATTGGGTATAGAAGGAACATTCTTCAACATTATGAAGGCAATATATGACAACAAAATGGATGCAACTTAGTAAACTAAGCCAGTCACTTAGTTCATCTTTCCCTGATCTGTGATAACTAATAGAGTATAAAAATATAATGCATATGAGCATAATTTACATTTTGAGATTTAATTGTTTACAGCCTTTGTCTCTACTTCTTAGGAATACTTTTTCTCTTATTATTTGTTAAATTCTTTGCTTAGTGAAGAGTTAATCTTATGATTATAAAATAAACAAAGCATGTCATTGTAAAAATTAAAAGAAGGGGCTCACTTGGTGCCATATGGCTACCGGGTTCTAGTCCCGGCTGCTCCTCTTCCAGTCCAGCTCTCTGCTGTGGCCCGGGAGGGCAGTGGAGGATGGCCCAAGTGCTTGGGCCCTGCACCCACATGGGAGACTAGGGAGGAGCACCTGGCTCCTGGCTTCGGATTGGCCCAGCACCGGCCGTGGCGGCCATTTGGGGAGTGAACCAACAGAAGGAAGACCTTTCTCTCTGTCTCTCTCTCTCTCATTGTCTATAACTCTGTCAAATAAATAATGAAAACGCAAAAAAAAAAAAAAAATTAAAAGAAAAAATAAGAAAGGAAGGAGGAGGGAGGGTGAGAGCATGGGTGGGTGTGGGGAGTAGGGTGGAAAGTACCACTAATGCAGCCAGCGCCACGGCTCACTAGGCTAATCTTCCACCTACGGTGCCGGCACACCAGGTTCTAGACCCGGTCAGGGTGCCGGATTCTGTCCCGGTTGCCCCTCTTCCAGGCCAGCTCTCTGCTGTGGCCTGGGAGTGCAGTGGAGGATGGCCCAACTCCTTGGGTCCTGCACCCACATGGGAGACCAGGAGATGTACCTGGCTCCTGGCTTTGGATCAGCGCGCCATGCCGGCCGCAGCTGCCATTGGAGGGTGAACCAACGGTAAAGGCAGACCTTTCTCTGTCTCTTTCACGGTCCACTCTGCCTGTCAAAAAAAAAAACAAAAAAAAAAAAACAAAAAAAAAGTACCACTATGCTCCTAAATTTGTATTTATGAAATCCATGAAATTTGTTCACCTGATATAAATTTAGAAAAAGTAAAAAATAAAACATAACCCCCCGGTATCCTTTATGGCATATTTGTGATATCTCAGCCAAGATCAATCAGCCTGTACCTCATTTCTAAGCAGCTAGCCCTGGGAGTGAATTTCTGTTTTTAGAAAGTTAAACCTTAAATAGCTTTGGTATTAGGTAAATTTGGCCAACAAATCAGTGATCCCAAAACACACCTAAAGATTCATGGTAAACTAGGACAGATCTTTTTTTTAACTGTTCTTTAGATTTCACAAGTTTTAAAAATCTTCATTTTATTAAGAATAAAACGAAATAAACAAAAGACTCTTCATTGACAGAATTAGGAAACAATATCAAGATTTTTGCTTTAAAAAATTAATGGTGCATTTTCTTTCTCTAATTAAGGAGCAGTTTAAAAAAAGTGTTCTTTGTGATAATCCAGACTGGGAGGGAAAGAATATTTTCAGGAAAGCTAAAACGCTTCTCCAAAATGCCTTGCATGCTACTTTTCAACAAAGGAAGTTTTCTTTTTTTAAAAAAATCATTTATTTTATTTATGAGACAGAGATGAAAGTGACAGCGAGAGAGAGAGAGAGAGAATTACCACTTGCAGTTTTGGTCTCCATATACCCACTACAGCTGAGATTTGAGCAGACCAAAACTGGGAACCATGAAGTCAATCCAGGCCTTCCATATGGATGGCAGGGACTCATCTATTTGAGCTATTATCTGTTGCCTCCCAGGGGCCTCATTAACAGGATGCTGGAATTGGGAGCAAAGTCAGGACTCAAACCCAGGTGCTCTGATATGGGATCTGGGTGCCCCAAACGCCATCCTAGCTGTAAGGTCAAATGTCCACCCTTGACAGAGGAAATCTCAATTTGAGAATCATTAGGGGGAAGAAAAATAAAGTCCTGAAGTTGAGTGAGCAGAGCAGTGTTCATAAAACCCACACTAGTGGCCGGCATTGTGGCGTAGCAGGTTAAGCCCCTGCCTATAATGCTAGTATCCCAATAAGGGTGCCAGTTGGAGTCCCACCTGCTCCACTTCCAATCCAGCTCCCTGCTAATGCACTTGGAGAAGTGTAGGAAGATGGCCTAAGCGTTTAGGCCATCTGGAAAAAGCTCCTGGATTGTGGCTTTGGCATGGCAAGTACCAGCCATTGTAGCCATTTGGGGAGTGAACCAGTGGTTGGAAGCTCTCCCTATCTCTCCTTCTCTATCTCTCTGTATCTTTGCCTTTCAAATAAATAAAATAAATCTTAAAAACAAATTCCACTCTATGCTGGAATTGGCAACAGAGATGAGTTATCTATTGATAGGTAAGAATATAAAGCAAGTATTTGATAGACCTGGTTTCTTTCTTTTTTCTTTTTTTTTCTTTTTCTCTCTCTCTTTTTTTTTTTTTTTTTTTTTGACAGGCAGAGTGGGCAGTGACAGAGAGAGACAGAGAGAAAGGTCTTCCTTTGCCGTTGGTTCACCCTTTAATGGCCGCTGCGGCCAGCACGCTGTGGCCGGCGCACCACACTGATCCGAAGGCAGGAGCCAGGTACTTATCCTGGTCTCCCATGGGGTGCAGGGCCCAAGCACTTGGGCCATCCTCCACTGCACTCCCTGGCCACAGCAGAGAACTGGCCTGGAAAAAGGGCAACTGGGACAGAATCCGGCGCCCTGACCAGGACTAGAACCCGGTGTGCCGGCGCCACAAGGTGGAGGATTAGCCTAGTGAGCCGTGGCACCGGCCAGACCTTGTTTCAAACCTTTTCTTTACCGCGAATCTCTGTGAAACTTTGGACAAATTCTTTAATGGCTTTACCCTGACTTCCTCTTCTGTAGTGTTCATGATATTAGGAAATCTACATGACTTTTAGAATTGAATGAGATCATGCCTAAAGCAGTTAACACAGCATTAGGCCCAATGTAAAGCTGCTGTTAGAGTTTTTATTTTTCTCTTCTGGCAACAGGCTTTTATGGCTGTTTGAACAGTTTAACCCCCCCCCCCATTTCTAAGAAGTTGCCAAAACAGAATTTTCCATCCCTGCCCCTTTTAACCACACCCTGCTTTAATCATAAACCAGATTTCAACACCATCCCTGAAAGGTCAACACCCACTACAGATTTTTCTCTGCATGGTTTAAAAATTCATTGCACTGAAAGCAATCTAGCAGCCAAAGGGATGCTAAGTTCCTCTTATTAAGATATTACAGTGTTTTTGGTATGTGACTTCAATTCCGTAAAGGAAAAAATGGAATTTAGAAATTATGAAACTGAAGGCATATACAACATCCTCAACTTCAATGGTTTCCAGATAATAATCCATGATATGTGCAATAGAGGGAAGAGCTACATTTTGTAAGGCCCTTTCTCTAAGAGCTATATACATATTTAACCTCAGCTTTACCCAGAACCTCCACATGAACGAACCTTCTGTCTCCCATCTCTCCACTCAGCTCTCTCTTGCAAAATAGTTCCAACTGTAACGTTATGGGATTTAAAAAAACTACCCTTGAATTTAACTTCTGTATTGAATTATGTTTGTTTCAAATTTTGATTCTACTTGTGAAATACACCACACCCAGTTTATAATGTAATTGACTCAGAACATCAGGATCTCTGCTTTGGAATAGATCTTATGTATTTAGTTATTCACCATCATATCAGCCCTGTCTTTTTGTGATGATGATGGCAAATCTAATGAAATTTGGCTCATGATCCTCCCCTCTGAAACAAAACAAAACAGAGTACTTCTGGCAGGTGGATTTATTGGCTCTCTTAATTGAAAAGTCTTGGGATAGAAGCAGTGTCAGACACAGCTGTAGCCAGAGACACAACGGGTCCTGCGACAACCTAGCTGTTCTACACTTTCAGCTCTGCCTCTTAAATAGTAGCTTCATTCTTGGGTTCTGTGAAATGACAAGAAAGTTACCTGAAGTTCAAGGCTCGGTTGATTTCAGACCTAAACCAACAGCAAAAACAGTATCTTCTTTCCCCAATCTGTCTTTCTCTCAAGTCTTAGGAAAAGACTCATTGCTTCTCACAATATTGTCAAGGAAGAAGGTTGAATGGATGCTAGATGCACAAGCAAAATAATAGGAGGAATTTCTCCTTCTCAAATGGCTAGTGGGAAATTGTTATTTAAATTGGGCAATCCTCAACCATAGATTTTCTATATGCTAGACTATTTGGAGACAATCCAAATTTCTATGGCCTTCTCCAAGCATCTCATCACACGATAAACAGCTCCTGGTTTCATTGTGTGTGAGGCAAGCTATGAGGTTTAAAGAAGCAGATATCTGTTGTACCAACTTTCATAATGCCCACTTTTTCACATGAGCCATTGGATATGTCACCCTAGTATTCAGGAAAAATAGCAAGAAAATAGTGGAAAGTTCTTTTGAGTGTTATCTACTTATATACAATTCATATACTAAGTTAATAAAAATAACTAATGAAATGTATAAATGAAACAACTAAAGCAAACAGAGAGCAACTCACATCATTGAATGTTGATCCATGAAGATTAATCTGTTTTAGTCCATCCTTATCCCGAACCAGAAATGAGTTAGGACTACACTACTGCTCATGTTTATTGGGAAGCTTAGGGGCTGTGGAATAACTCTGGAATGCACACAGTAGGCTCCTGGGAAATGTTTTCTGTGACCTCGTGGAATCCCACAGAATGCTGACTTTCACCAGAGATGGTCTACTTTGGTGTTTGTTATCTTCAGCCAAAATTATTTTTCCACTATCTTAATCAGGGTGAATAGCTGTTGCCATTTTTTTTTTCTATTCTGATACTTCTAAAATCCCTAGACGATTGATCCAAGTTCTCAACCACTGCATATCTTTTTTTCTGTTGTGTGACAGGGATAAAAACATCACTTAATCAGTTCTACAATCTAGACAAATATTGAGAGATGTTTCCAGTCATAAAAAGGATGAATCTCAGGTCTTTTTCTCTCTGTCCCAATATTGAGTGGCCTGTAGTAGAGGAGTTTCTCAAAGTCCCTACAATCAAGAAAAGACAGAATCAGAGTTTCTCCAGTTTGCCCAAATATCTTATATCCACCTTTAGATATCTATGGAAAGGATCTGAGCTGGTGAAATCTAATTTACATTTTGAAATCACCTGTTCTTGTTTTTGGTAAATATATATCTTCTAGAAATGAAAAAATTTCTTTGAAAACTCTTATAAATGCATCTACCAGTTTAATGCTTATATGAGGTACATAGAATCTGTGGATTTGATTTCCATGGATTAGACAAGATTCCTTGCTATAGCTTTGGAACCTCTTAGGGTGAGGCACCACTGGCTCCATTGTCATCACACATTTGTTAATTCTGAGTCTGCCTTAACAAGTTAATTCTTTTTTTTTATTTTTTATTTTTTATTTATTTATTTATTTTTCTTTTTGACAAGCAGAGTGAATAGTGAGAGAGAGAGAGAGACAGAAAGATCTTCCTTTTGCCATTGGTTCACCCTCCAATGGCCGCCGCGGCTGGTGCGCTGCGGCTGGCACACCACGCTGATCCGAAGGCAGGAGCCAGGTACTTATCCTGGTCTCCCATGGGGTGCAGGGCCCAAGCACTTGGGCCATCCTCCACTGCCTTCCCGGGCCACAGCAGAGAGCTGGCCTGGAAGAGGGGCAACCAGGACGGAATCCGGCTCCCTGACCGGGTCTAGAACCCGGTGTGCCGGCACCACTAGGTGGAGGATTAGCCTATTGAGCCGTGCTGCCAGCAACAAGTTAATTCTTAAGTCTGCCTTAGCAACTATATTTTTTGAAGTAAATTCAAATTAGGTCAGCTCACCATTTTTTCTATGTGTTTTCTTATTCATTTAAGAATACAGAAATTTTTTAGTTTATATATAGTAACCTTAAATGTGTAGTTTTGATATACTATATATATTTTATATAAATAGTATATTTGATATATTATATGTTATATAGTATATTATATACTGTATATTACATCTATACTATATAATACTATATAGTATATAGTATTATAATACTGTACTATATAGTATATATACTATAGTATACACTATACAGTATACTATATACTATCATATATAATATATACTATATAGTATATTGTATATAGTATACATATTATGTTATATAGTGTAATATATATTACAAATATTATATATTATATAGTATTATATATATCTTCCTGGCTGGTTTTTGTTACTTGTTTCTTTATGTTGACTTTGTCCCTAGCATAATTTCCCACCTGAGTAAAACCAGTCTCTGAAGCGTTGTGCATGGTGAACAGCAAGGTCCTCACTGCTTCTCCCCGCACGCCCTCCCTGGCCAAGGCCACACTCCTCAGGTGGGCTCTGAGGTCCAGGTGTCCTCACGGTCCTGTTGCTGGAGAGCAGGCGCTCTGGTTAACACAAGGGTCCTAGAAGCATGCAGCCTCGGATATAATATATAATATATAACATATAATATATAATAATATATAAGGTAATATATAATATTAAAATTATAAATATATATATAAATATAAATATAAAATAACATATTATATAATCAAATAATATAATAAAATATTATATTATAATGTAATATTATATTATATTAATATTTAATATTATATATTATATATTATATTATAATTATTTCTGTATAATTATTTCTGTATTATTATTATTAAATTATTATTATATTATATTATTTTATAATATATAATATTATATATTATATTATAATGTAATATAATATATATTTTAATATATAATATATAAATATAATATTATTATATTATATTTATATATTGTTTTATATATTTATATATTTAAATATATACATTATTATTTCTATTTATTTAAATATATTATATTATGTATTTTATATATAAAATATATATTATGTATTATGTAATATATACTATATATTATTATATATTATATATTATATATTTATATTTATTTATATATTTAATATATATTATTAATTATATAATATATTATGATCTATGATATAATGTATATTATATATTATGTATATTATACATAATATTATATTATATAGTATATATTATATATATTGTAATTTATAATATACAATGTATATATTATTATATAGATAATACATATAATATATATAGATAATACATATAATATATAATATATATTATATAAAATAATATATAGTAATAAATATAATAATATGTAATATATAATATTATATAATATATTATATTGTATTATATTATATATAATATATAATAATATATAATACATATAGTATATGTATTATATATATAGCCTACCTTCCCTCCTGTCTATATTCCCACCATTCTTCCTCCTCTCTCTCCTATTCCCATTCCTAGTTTTTCACAAAGATCTATTTTCAATTAATTTTATACACATAATAGTAACCCTACACTAAGTAAAGAGTTCTACAAATAGTATGAAGGAAAAAAAGCTTGTTTTACACAGTAGTTGCACTAATTTAAATTCCCACCAATAGTATATAAGAGTTCTCCCTTTTTCCACATCATCACCAGCATTTATTGTTCTCCGTCTTTTGGATAATAGCCATTTTGAATAGTATGATATGATAGGTTATTGTAGTTTTGATTTGTATTTCTCTGATAGCTAGTGATGTTGGACATTTTTTCATATATCTGTTGGCCATTTGTATTTCTACTTTTGAGAACTGTCTATAGATATCCTTTGCCCGTTTCTTAACTGGATTGGTTGTTTTCAGGTTAAGTTTTTTGAGTTGTTGATGTATTCAGGATATTAATAATTTGTCAGATAGGTACCTAGCAAGTATTTTTCCCATTCTGTTGGATGTATCTTCACTCTGTTAATTGTTTCCTTTGCTGTTGTGAAACTTCTGAGTTTGATAAAGCCCCATTCAGTTAATTTTGCTTTTGTTCCCTTGCTTTGGGTCTTCATGATTTTTACTTGTGGAACTCTCTGTTTAGTGGAGCATTAAGCCTTTGACTATAATGTAAATTAAAAATATGTTCCTCAAAAATTAAAGAAAGAAGGAAAGAAAGAGAAGAAGGGCAGGAGGAAAGGAAGATGGATGGGAGGGAGGGAGGGAGGATCATTATATTATTAGAATGTATCTGTGAACTACATTGAATCTGTTCTCTGTATTAATATCACATTAACAAGAGAATTGTGTTTTTAAATTCAATTTTTAAAAAATGAAATTGTGTATAGCACACAAGCAGGTCCAAGAATCAAATAGCATGCAAAACCAATTTTTAGTTATGTCTGTCAGGCCCTTAGTATAAATTTTATTTCAAAAATCTCAGAACATCAAATTGATTAGATTGTCAGCAGTTCCTCAAACCATTTTCTCCTGATGGTGAGAAATCTCTGTTACTATTATGAGAAGAAAAACCAGGAGTCAGAGGAATGAATATTATGAATCAAATGTAGGTGTGATGGAAAAATACTACTTTGTCTCTAAAAACAAAAAAATGCATTTAACTTCATTTAGAGGAATAAAATTCCATAATTTATACTAAGAAATGTATAACAGCCGGCGCTGCGGCTCAATAGGCTAATCCTCCGCCTATGGTGCCGGCACCCTGGGTTCTAGTCCTGGTTGGGGCGCCGGATTCTGTCCCAGTTGCTCTTCTTCCAGTCCGGATCTCTGCTGTGGCCCAGGAAGGCAGTGGAGGATGGCCCAAGTGCTTGGGCCCTGCACCCGCATGGGAGACCAGGAGGAAGCACCTGGCTCCTGGCTTTGGATCAGCATGTGCCAGCTGCAGCACGCCAGCTGTGGCGGCCATTTGGGGGGTGAACCAATGGAAGGAAGACCTTTCTCTCTGTCTCTCTCTCTCTGTCTCACTCTGCCTGTCAAAAAAAAAAAAAAAAAGAAAAGAAAAGAAAAAGAAATGTATAACAACATCTTTGAAACAAAAACTGTTGAACATTTATTATAAATTCATAATATGAATCTGATTAATGAACACAAATGATATTAAAGGATTTTAAATTATGAATTCACTTTTTAAATATCAGCAGATAAAACTGCATAGCACATATAAGCCTAAAAATTTTGTTAATGTCTTTATTTTGTTAATAATTTCAGATACTGTTGATGACGCATTATTTCTAAATTATTGCCAGCAAAGCTCAGACAGGGTCTGTCATATGAAGCTATGTCCAATTATGCTTTCACTCCTTACCAGTTCATGGCTTATGTGAATGAAGCCCTCTACCTTGCAGTCTATTTATTGTAATTTGCAGTTATTATCTAGCTTTATATTATGATTTCTATAAAATAGTACAGAGCTTAGCATATAACATGCACACATTTTAAATTGATTATTAACAATATTAAAGATGGAAAAAATAAACGAATATATGAATGGTCATAAATAACAATGGGTATTATTTGGTTCAAGTTTTCATTTAAATCACTCATGGAATATCAATAAAAATTATAAGAAGTTTGACCCAATGCAAAATGTGGAAGATACAAAATTCTTCTAAAGCAATTCAAAAGCATTGTCTAAATTTGCTTCTAGTAAACATGACATTTTGAAGGAATATTTATTCAGTTGAGTAGAAGACTTTTTGTGTCTCCTAAAGAACCAATTTCCCTTATAATTTTACTCCTTCTGCT